ATACTTACAGTGCAAGGCCTGTATGTCTTCTCGTGATACTGCAGCCTTTATGTATAGATTTTACAATAGACGTTTACCATCTGTGTTTGATACTTTTTTCACTCAAGTAAATGAAAAACATAACTTCAATTCTAGAAGTGCCTCGAGTTTATCCTATTCTTTACCTAAAGTAAGAACAAATTATGGAATATTTAATTTAAGGTTTAAGGGCCCCAAAGTATGGAACTCGATAAGTAAAAATTTGAAAACCTTATCAATCTCAAACTTTAAGGAGTCAGTAAAATGAGATCTAGTTAAGACTATTAGCTACTTATGAACTTATTAGCAACTTATGTACTTATCAATTAGCAGTGTATTGTTTTCCAATTTACTACAATCTAGTCTTCTTTTAATTTCTGTAACCTTTTTAAGTACTTCTTTATTTTGTAATTTATAACTATATAGCTGTTACTAGGTGCCGTAGACATTATGCTCTTCTTATTTTAATCTTTAGTATTCATAAATAATTCCAACTATTCTAGACTTACTTCATATCTTATAAATTCCGTTTATTTTTTATTTTTTCCTGTGTGTGTGTGTGTGTGTGTGTGTGTGTGTGTGTATGTGCATTTGTGCTTCAATCTTTTTGCTGGCCTGTATTTTAATTTCGTTTAATGCTGATGTTAACTAGCTGCCTGCCACCACTAGCCCATATGGTTATTCCAGGCTGCTAGTACTCCAATTTTACTTCTAATAGTTTCTTTCAATTTTGTAACTTTTTTGCTTGGAGCAAGTATGAATGCGAGTACAACTAAAGATTAGCCGTTATCTGTTATCCGGTTTCTCGACGCCAGTCTTCGAGGTCCATTAGGCCTTAAAGAACTACCTGACGTACAAAGGACGGTTTATTTCTTTTAAAAAAGAAAAACACTCAGTTTATGAAAGGAAGTTGTTGATCAATTTTTGTTGCACTTGATTATTCCTTTACACCCTGACACATGCAGTATGCATATTCTCTATACTGTTCTCCATATATTTCCTTAGGTGCTGACAAGGATAATGTGTTTGACGATTAAGAGGTTATTTGGTTGGTGATCATTTCTTTAACTCTCCTTACTTTAATGTGTGATTCAAGGCGGATATTATAAGGAGAAATAAGATGTTAGTCACTCTGAGGGATTAAGCTTGTTTCACCCAGTTTCTGACATTACTTAGAGGTCATTCAGAAGTGAATAGGCAAGCTTAGTAAAGCAAAAAGAATACTTTAAAGGACTTTAATCCCTGGAGCTAACCAACCGTCACTTGAAAATGAATCCCTTTGCCTGTATCTAAAGGAATACTGATTTATAACTCAGAGGCACTATTTGGTATGATCAACATGGCTATTAACATTAACATCAATTAACTATTGATATCAGGAAGTCTAACAGTTAACAGTTTCAAAAGTAACTCATCATCATTTTCAGACAGTGTACAACTTTACTACAGAACGATGATATATGTCTCATTTACGTATGTTTAAAAATGTGCCTTTGTTCAGTGTTGCATGAAGGGAGTTAATAGAGAGTACAATAGCGGTAGAAAATTACTGAGTTCTGAAAAAAACAGTTGTTTGTCAAGGCAAACAGAATACTTCAGGAAGTCATTTAAAAAAAACACTCTACTTCAGACCCTTTTTTGCGGCTGAAATAAAGTAGTTTCCAGGATAAAAGGACCAAGTGTAAAGATCATTTCAAACTTGCAATCTTTTGTCTAAGGAATTTTTTAGGTCTGCGAATAAATGCCACCCGTAATTGGCTATCTTTGGCATTCGCCTAGTTTGTGATACTTGTTGGGTGACTTGCAAAGTAAAATCGCTTTTTGCTAGTATTTTATCTGAATAAGGAAATCAGTAATCTTGAAATTTTCTTTCAGCAAGTGTGAGTCTCTTTCAAGATTCAGCCTTGTTTATTTGTGCTAATTTTACATGATTTGTGACGTTCAGCTATGGACATGGTGTTTCGCGCGTCAAATCACAGCTACATTGTTAGACTTTTTACACTTCATTGATCAAAGTAGAAATGCTTTCAGATTCTGCACTTGTTTGCACGAAAAAAGTGATGCTCGCCGATCTTTCGTCCGAAGACACTTCTGCTTACCGATTATTAGTGTTGTCTCTCAAAATATAGCTGTTTTGCTTTGTGACAATTATACACGATTTAGTAATTCTTGACGATCATGCGCAATGATAATGAGAGCACACTCTGTTACCTTCCATTGCCCTACGGTGAGAGAAGGCATGATTTGACATAAACCGATCACAATAATAAAGCTCTACAGAATTGAAACTCAAAATACTGTTCATAAACAAAGCATTTTTTTTTTTTTGCATAAAACTTTTAATTGAGCGAACATGCCCAAGGAGCTAACCTTCACACCTGTGTATTGAACGGATGATGCTAACAAGTACCTCTTTTTTTCCTGACATTACTTAGAGGTCATTCAGAAATGAATAGGCAAGCTTACTGAAGCAAAAACAGCGCTACAAAGGACTTAACCTCTGGAGCTAGCCAACCGTCACATCAAAATGAATCCCTTCGTCGGTATCAAAATGTTATAACTCAGAGGCACTATTTGGTATGATCAACATAGCTATCGAAATCGATAAACAATTTATATCAGGAAGTCTGATTGTTTTCAAAAGTAACATAACATTACTAAAGCAAAAATAGTACTATAAAGGACTTCAACTGCCGGAGCTAGCTGACCGTCACATGGAAATGAATCCCTTCGTCAGTATCTAGATGGAATACTAAGTTATAACTCAGAGGCACTATTTGGTATGATCGACATAGCTATCGAAATCGATAAACAATTTATATCAGGAAGTCTGATTGTTTTCAAAAGTAACGGTACAGTATCAGTATTTCCAAACTTTACTACAGAACAATGATGTTTGTTTCAAAACCGCTTACGCGATTTTCTGTGATAAAAACGTGTCTTTGTCCTGCGCTGCAGATTAGGAGTTACTCCCTTCATGCAACGCTAAACAAAGGCACATTTTTATAAAAACACAAATGAGATAAATATCATCGTTCTGTAGTCAAGTCGTACACTGTCTGAAAACTATGATGTTAAGTTACTTTTGAAAACGTTATTTATCAGATTTCCTGATGTTAATCGATGTTAATAGCTATGTTGATCATACGAAATAGTGCTTCTGAGTTATAACTTAGTATCCCATTAAGATCCAGACAAAGGGATTCAATTTTCATGTGACAGTTGACAAGCTCAAGGGGTTGAAGTCCTTTCTAATACAATCTTTTCTTTAGTAACCTTACCTATTCATTTCTGAATGACCTCTAAGTAATGTCAGAAAGAAATAAGTGCTTGTTAGCATCGTCCGTGTGAAAGACGAGCACGTACATTGGCTTCTTAGCCATGTTGGCTGAGTGAAAAATTAATTCTGCAAAAAAAACCTTGTTAATGAGTAACATTTTGAGTTTCATTTCTGTAGAGCAATGCTAATACGAAATATATATTCCAGTGATGCTCTCTTATCCCTGAGCAGTGCAGGGTAACAGTGTGTGATCTCAGTGTGCACGGTAGTCAAGAATTACTAAATCGCTTAAAACTACCGCAGAGTAAAACAGCCATACTTTGAGAGAATAACACTATTAATCCGGCGGTGAGCTGAAGTGTCCTCAGGGAAGAAAGACGAACAGAACTTTCTTTCTATAAATAATTGACAAATATCATTTTTCACGCATAAACAAATGCAGACAATAACTCTACTTTTCTATGATCACTGAAGTACAAAAATATCGCTGCGCGAGCATGTTGACATTAGAAAACAGCACATCCATTGCGTCACGAATCGTGCAAAATTAGCGTAGATAAACAGGGCTAAATCTTGAAAGAAACTCGAAATTTCCTAAATAAAGCTCACTGTCTTGCGTACTCGGATAAAATACCGACAAAAAAAACAATTAACAACGAACTTTACAAGTCATGCAAACAGGCGTAAGGCTAATAATAGCCAATTACGAATGGTATTAATTTGCAGACAGTAAAGTTTTTTGTCAAGAGAGAACAAGTTTAGAAAAATCTTTACACTTGACCTTTTATGTTGCAAATCAGAAGCGGAAAACTGCGTTATTTCAGCTGCATAAAAAGTTTTGAAACGACATAAAAATTCGGTCTGCAGTAGAGTGTTACATTTAATTACTTCCCGAAGTATTTTGTTTCGTGATAGCCGCCTACAAACAATTTATTTTTCAAAACTCAATTATTGTCTACCGCTATTGTACTCTTTAAAAACTCTATTCATGCAACGCCGAACAAAAGCCCTTTATTTTAAGAAAAAAATCACTTTAGGGCATATGAAACAAATATCATTGTTTTGTAGTAAATTCGTATACTGTTTGAAAATACTGAGGCTATGTTGCTTTTGAAAGGTTTCAGATTTCCCAATGTTGATTGTGAATCGATATTAACTGCTACGCTGAACATGCCAAATAGTGCCTCTAAGTTTTAACTATTTCATCAAGATAAAAACAAAGTTGGTTAGCTCCGGAGATTGAAGTTGTTTTTTTGTGCATTTTCTGCTTCAATAAGCTTGCATATTCATTTCGGAATGACAACTGAGTAATGTCAAAAAGAGATTAAATTAATTAAATGCTCGTTAGCATCATCAGCTCAAAAGAGGGGCAGGTCGGTTGGCATCTTAGCCATGTTAGCTGTGTCGAAATTACTTTTTCAAAAATTCCTTAAGCATGAACAACATTTTGAGTTTAATTCTGCAGAGCTATGTTAATAGTATACTCAGGGAAACCGTCTGGAGCTTTCTGATCTCTGTGAAATGGAGGGTGACGGTGCGTGATCTTCCAAAAATTTCGCACAAGCGTCAGGAAAAAAAACACTTAACAAAACATTTGTCTTTATCTGGCCTCAAGCGTTCTCCCACGGTGAAATTTACATGACAGACTCTTGTTTATGCAATTAAAATCACTTTAAAAGGCTGCCTAATTTCTTTCTTGACCACAAGTTGCTCAGTTTTGTTCCGGAGCTACCTAGCAGAATTCAAGGAGCTACCATGGTCTCGTGACAATTTGTACAAAGTAGGTTTTCTCCTTTATTCTGTACCTTACATTCTCTTTTTGTTCCAAAGAAAAGCCGAAGCTGATTTTACGATAGCGGCTACTTTCTCAAACAGGTTGTTGTTTTGTCGAGGGTAGTGTATGCTTTTGCGAAACTTTATCCAAGTCCTATGCCATACTTAATTTCTCAGTTAGACTCTCTGACTGGGTTCTTTTATACGGTAGTCGTTAGCTTGTTAGTATACTTGTTCGCCTGGCTTATCCTTGAGAGAAAAAAAACATATTTTCAGGTATTTCAACGCAGAGCTGAAGAAGAGGGAGGGGTGGGTGGGTGACATCATTCACGCCTCAATCTTTTCCCGTGGTAGCCACAACTACCAGATCACCGATCCAGACACTTGCACAAAGCTGGTCTGCACAAAGTCGAGCCTTAATCTTTTTAACCGAATCCAATCGAATCTTGGAGTAGTCTTTCCTCGTAGCTGAAATTTTGTGTCAATGATATCTATCTCCTGCAACCCTTCATACTGAATCTTCTTATTTTCTTTCAAGCATCCAAGAGGGCCAATCCGAGACATCAATGAAGATCTCTGTAGTTTTGAAGTTTGCTTTTGTGGCCCTGTCTGTTTTTGAATGCTGTGTATCAGGTACGAGTTTGATGATTTTTGAGGAGATCGCATGGATTTCAAAGAGAATTGAAGGGGGGTCAGTCATCGCTAACAGATTATAAAAGGGGGGCTACAGAAAAGGACTTTGAACAGTGAGCATCATTCGAATATTACAGAGCCTTAGGGAATCACGTAAACGACCTAAATCCCTCTCCCCCTTCCCCTCCTTCTTCCCCTCCCCTCCCCCTCCTGAAATGATAAAATTCGTCATAAGTGTTAGAGCTCAGTTTGAGAATCTAGTTTTTACGTATGATGCACGATCCTTCGCAGTAGATAGCGCTATTTATGCAATAGCGAAAATCAGACCTGAAAAAAATCAGGCCTGTACGGGATTCGAACCACTGACCTCTGCGATATTAGTGCAGCGCTCTACCAATTGAGCTAACAAGCCAAATGGGAGCAGGCCGTTAAGTTGATTCGTAATAAACCCGTGATGATAAATCAGATACAATGAATATAT